CTGCTCCTCTATGACTGCATGAACCGCTTCTCGCGCACAGCCTCAGAGGGACTCAAACCCACTTGCTAAGGGCACAAGTGAGGGAGGATGCTCTTGGGGATACCAAAGGGAGGAAATGAGGCCATGTCTTCTGTGATCTGCATGGTTTCCCATCCCCTCTTACTGCAGCCCAGAGGTTGGCACCCTTCAGGCACACCTGGAACCAGACTGGTGCCAGGTTTGCACTTGCATGGCTCTGAAGCTGGTACTGTCTGCATGTGCAATGGTCAAATGGACCCTTCTCTCTCCTGCATCCCAGTTGTTTTGTTTCTAAGGGCCTCAGCAAAGCAGGCCTCTGTTGAAGTAGAGAAGGGTTCCCTTTCTGTTGGCTGACAGCAGCATGAGAGTGTTATGCAATGGGCAGCCTGCAGCATCTGCTTGGCTTTCTAAGGAGGAAAGGGAAGCCTGCCCTTTGCTCACAGCCTTGTGAAAGCTGTCTGTGGTACTTGCTTAACCTGTTACCATAGTGCCTGAGGCTCGCCCTACTTAATATGTTGATCCAGAAAGTAGGGAAGTGCTGTGATGCCTATTTAATAGAGAGGGAACTGAGGGCACAGACGGAGTCACGGTCACCCAAGGAGTTTGTGTTCGAGAGGTGGTTTGAACTGTGGTCTCTTAAGTCTGAGGCTAGGGCCCTAGAGCACTGGGGGATGGAAGATGCTGGCATCTTGTGAGGGAGGAATGGGAGCCAGGCCATTGAATCCAGGTGGAGAGCCTGGAAGCACCCAGCTCTTCCAAAATAATCCTTCCTGCACCCCCACATCCTTTCATCCATGGCCCTTCCTAGATGTCTCACCCTTGCATCTACAGGCCAGCTGCTCACCACCCCACTGTGGATTGCATGTAGATCCACATATGCCCTGGCCTTGTATGTAGTCCTTCTGTGACTCAGTTCACCCATCTGTACATGCTGGCCCGGTCCATCCTTGAAGAACTGAATCGGCAAAGATCTGTGTGATCCCTTTCCCATGCTTGCAAATGCATTGTACTCGCAGCACACAAGTGTTCCCAGTGTTTCACTTGCATTTGGATTCGACTTGTGATATGCATAATAGGCACAAGAGCAGTGACCAGCACAGTGAAGTCCTGCTTCCTGGTGGAGACCTTCCCTTGCTACCTGCCAATGAATTGCACCACTATGCTTTTAGCTGGGCAAAATATGGCTCATTTCTTGACCTGTTTCAGTCTGACTTTGATTGATGCCAATGTGGATGGTCCCAAAAGAGGATCAGGCAGTCTTCTCCTTCCTGGGTCATAGCCCTTGGAGAATTCTCTGAATCCACTGCTTTGGGGAAGTCAGCTGGGAACTGTGAGCTACCAACCATGGCATAATGATGTAGAACAACACTAGCATGGAAACAATGCAAAACCACGAGAGGTTGGAGCATGGGTCAGAATGGAAACAGCGAAATGTTTGTGTTTAGACCGGCCTCATGCCACCAGTTCAGTTCTCTAGTGCAGACATGGCCTGGAGGGCACAATATAATGCAGCAGGATACTGACAGTGCTCTTGTTCCCCTCATTTAGCTGTAGCAAATTAAGATGTTCTTGGTGTTTTGGGGCACTGTGCCTGGTAGTGGCCAGAGAGGGTTGTTCATGCTGTTTTTAGATTAGATTAGACCAACGCTTTTATAGGATGGCTTAGTTAGGGATAATCCTGCCTTGAGCAGGGCATTAGATTAGATAACCTTCTGAGGTCCTTTTAGCCCAGTTTTCTATTCTTCCTTACCTGGGACAGGGGTCTTGTGAGGCTAGATACGTGTTTGTAAGGCTTGTTGGGAACTGCAGATGGAATGTGTTGCAGAAGGCAAAATATCAGCAAGCCATTTGTCTAGACCTTTGGAGGTAGTCAGTCTTGAGGTCATCCCCCATCCTGCAGCAAGTGATAAAGGAGAAAACAGGGCCCCAAGCATAAGCAACAAACAGGGAGGGGTGGGGAGGAGCAGAAGCCTGTTGCTGGGTGGAGTGCAGCATCCGAGCAACAGCAAAAGGTCTTTATCTTGCGGAGATGGAATGAAAAAAAACAGGCAAACAGGAAGGTGGAGGCCCTGGAGCAGAGTCCAGGCCTAAGATGCCCCTTACAGAGCACCTCTGCCTGCCTTGTTTGCTCTCAGAGAGGAGGGGTGGGCTGGAGAAGCCCTTTGGTCAGTAAGCGCTTGGTGGGACCTTTGCTGCTTCGCCTGTTAATGGGGTTAAGCAGTAATGAGCAGCTCTTCAGGACAGGGCAAGGGACAGGGAGCAAGAGCTCTTGGGAAGGCCTAATTTGATGATCTGTCCCAAGCTATGTTACCTGTTGACACAGCTTTGTTTGTTCCTAGGCTGGGCCACCCACTGGAGTACTGTGTTCAGTTTTGACCCCCCCACTACAGAAGGGATGTAGACAAATAGAAAAAGAGTCTAGCGGAGGGTGACAAAAGTGGTGAGGGGGCTGGGGACATGACTTATGAGGAGAAGCTGAGGGAATTGGGCTTATTTAGTCTAGAGCAGGGGTGGGCAATTATTTTGGGCAGAAGGCCGATTATTGAGTTTTGGCAAGCATTCGAGGGCCACATAACAGGCAGCCAGGGGCAGATAAATATTAATTTTCTAATTTTTTTAGGGGCCCTGCAAGCCAGATAGAATGGCCTGGCGGGCCACATCCGGCCCGCGGGCCACATTTTGCCCACCGCTGGTCTAGAGAAGAGAAGACAGGAGATTTGATAGCAGCCTTCAATTACCTGAAGGGGGGCTACAAAGAGGATGGAGCTGGACTGTTCTCAGCGGTGGCAGATGACAGAACGAGGAGCAATGGTCTCAAGTTGCAGCAAGGGAAGTTTAGGTTAGATATTAGGAAGAATTTTCTAACTAGGAGGGTGGTAAAACATGGAACAGGTTACCCAGAGAGGTGGTGGGATATCCATCCTTGGAGGTTTTTAAGACCCAGCTAGACAAAGCCTTGGCTGGGGTGATCTAGCTGGGGCTGGTCCTGCCTTGAGCAGGGGATTGAACTCAGAAGGTCATTTAAGTCCCTCCCACTCCTAATGTTCTATTATTCTATATTGTCTTGATGGGATCCAGCCTGTTTGTGTGGGGATCATTGAGAGGTGGGCATCTCCCACCCTTAGTGATCAACAGAAAACTAGCGAGGTGTTTGTGTGTGTGTCATATGGCACATCGAGTGACAGAATATTTCATAGATTTCATAGACATTAGGGCTGGAAGGGACCTCAGAAGATCATTGAGTCCAGCTCCCTGCCCAAAGGGCAGGAAGTCAGCTGGAGTCATAGGATCCCAGCAAGAAAAGCATCCAAATTTCTCTTGAAGGTGTTCAATGTAGGTGCTTGAACCATCTCTGATGGCAGGCTGTTCCTGACCTTAGGGGCTCAGACAGTAAAGAAATTCTTCCTTATGTCCATCCTGAAACGTTCTTGCAGGAGTTTATGACCATTCGACCTCGTCATCCCTTGGGGCACTCTGGTGAACAAATGTTCTCCCAGATCCTGGTGGTCACCCCTGATAAACTTATAGGTGGCCATCAGATCACCCCTGAGCCTGCGCTTTTCCAGGCTAAAGAGCCCCATGGCTCTCAGCCTGTTGTAGTAAGGTCTGTTTTCCTGACCTCTGGTCATGCGTGTGGCTCCTCACTGGGCTCTCTCAAGCTTCTCCACATCCTTTTTGAATTACGGAGCCCAAAACTAGACACAGTACTCCAGCTGCAGCCTCACCAAGGCCAAGTACATGGGGAGAATAACGTCCCGGGATTTGCTTGAGAAGCATCTATGGATGCAAGTCAGCGTTTAGGTCGCTTTAGTAGCTGCATTGCATTGAAGGCTCATGTTCATCTTGTGATCAATCCTGACCCCTAAGTCTTTCTTCCGCAGTCCTAGCCAGTGTAGCACTGCCGAGCCTATACAGATACTGCAGGTTTATCCTCCCAAGGTGGAGAACCTTGCATTTTTCAGTGTTAAACACCATTGGGCTCTCGTCCGCCCATTTGCTGAGCCTGTCCAGAACAGGACAGAATATGTCAGAACAGGGTGTTTCTCTGGCAAGACATAGAAGTACAAGATGCTCACCTTCCAGTGATCCTCCTCACACATGCATAGACAGAAGGAACTGTTTCCCTTCCCCCTCTACCAGTCCTGTTCTGTCTCTTTCATCCCCCTCATTTTTTTTCCTTCCCACTTTCCTCAGTCACCGCAAGTCTCTGTACTGCGTGGGATGGAAGATGACAGCACCTATCTGTCTTTCCCTAGGACTAGCTTTCATGTGCTTCTGTGGTGCTGCCTGGGCCTGGAGCAGCATTCATTCAAGCTGTCCCCATGTCTCCCTCAGAGGCCCCCCATGGGCTTACAGATTCACAGAAGTTTAGGGCTGGAAGGGACCTTGTGAGATCATCGGGTCCAGCCCCCCTGCTCTGGGCAGAAAAGACTGCTGGGGTCAAGTAACCCCAGCAAGGTGTGCGTCCAGTCTCTTTTTAAAGATCTCTAGAGTAGGTGCCTGCAAAATCCCCACTGGGAGACTATTCCAGCATCTGGTCACACGAATCGTAAAGAAGTTTTTCCTTGTATCCAGTCTGAAACTTTCTTCTAGGAGTTTATGACCATTGCTCCTGGTTTTCCCCTGGTGCTTTGGTGAATAGTTGTTCACCTAGCCCCTGATACTCTCCCTTGATATATTTGTAAGCTGCCACCAAATCCCACCATGTGAAGGCCTGGACTCTCAAATATCTGCTGGCCACTGTGTTCCCTTTCATGGGGGCTCACATGCAAGAAGGAGTAGATGAAATGGTGGATTGATCTGCAGTCATGCAGCCTTCCCCAGTTCCATGACATCCCATCCCAGGACAGATGGGGCTCCTATAGTAGGCTGGGAAATACCATCAAGAGTCAGTCTCTGGTGTCTGGAAAGGCCTGTCCTGTACACTGCAGCCTGTCCATTACTCTGAATTCTAACCCTCTGTCTCCATCCTGCTCTTCCAGAAAGTTGAGCCTGAGGTGGATAAGTTCCTGCAGGAGCTGCGTGGCAGAGTCAAGATTGGCGTAGTGGGCGGCTCTGACTACTCCAAGATAGCCGAACAGTTGGGGGAAGGGGACGAAGGTGAGAGCCTCCGCTTCGGCAGGTCCTGCAGAGGTGGGTGGGAATTGTGGGGTGGGGCTGTTGGAGGCTGGCGGGAGCAGCTGTTCTCCTTGGGTGAGAGGAGCCAGTTGAACTCGTCTTTGGTAAGTGCACATGGCTTTAAGGAGGCTTATGTTACCTCATCTCTAGACTGTAGTGCACACAGAGCTGGAGTGGGCAAGATGTACTTCACAGCAGTAGTCCCAGGTGTGGCACGGAGGCAGTGTAACAGTTCCCAGCTGCTCCAGAGAGAGCATGGACTACCAGTGCCAGCTTACACTGCTACTGTTGTTACTCATGGCACTGCACAGAAGGCTTGGCCCAGACCACCATTATTGCTAGAAGCCCAGAGCTCCTCCCCAAGGACCATCTCCCAGGCTCACTAGCATCAGGCGTAAAACTCTTGCCCCTTCACTGAGCAGGGGGTTGGGCAGCAAATATGCAGCTCCCCAAGCCAGAGCTGCTGCTCTCCCTGTTGGCAGGATAGCAGAACAGAGTGCAGTATTGTGCCTGTCACCTACTGTGATCTGGTGCATCTGTACCTAATGCACAGATACAGGGCTCTCTTGGGTCCTGTCTTTGTGCTGACCTTGTCTTGCCTCAAAACAACACTCTCACGCATGCAGCTCAAGGCAGGCAGCTTTCCAACCCAGAACTGGGGTAGCCACATCTGTTAGCATTGCTGGGTGACAGGACCAACTAGGCTGCTCCATGCCAGTTATCCTGCTGACAGCACCGCATGGGTACAACAACACTGCTTCCAATTTAAGAGGCAGCCTGCCAGAAGTAGCACAGCATGCCTAGGGATACTGTTCCAGGCCAGGGGGATTTACCCTGTAGACCATGTGTAAGAGCCCATGCTAATGAGTCTCAGTTTGTGCTTTATGCTGTCCTGGTCTGGCCTGGTCATGGCTGGGTAGAGACAGGGCTGCATGGCTGGAAGACTCCTTCTGCTTGCTCCCAGCCCTGCCTCATGGCAAAATATTCCAGCCTTCTTCAACTCACAAAGTCTCTCTGAGCACCCATTAGGGTTGCAGTTTTATGGGAATTCTGTCAAAGGGAAGGGGGTATGGGCTCAGACATTCTGCACCAAGGTTGAGCATGAGCGAAGGGCTGACATCTTAAGGCCCTGATCTGCTGTAGGAGGCTAGGCAGAGTTCTCAGCGGGGAAGGGAAGAGGCAGGAGGCATAGGACAGGTGACCTGTCCTCCCTCTTGCCTTCCTTTTCTCCCCTTCTCCAGCTTCAGAGTAAAATGTAGAGCCAAGTTCTTCCTTCTGGCTTGTTTGCAATGACAGGTCACCTGGTGATGTAACTCTCAGCTTCAGGGAGCATGAAATTACCTGCTGAGTTGGCAGGGGTCTGTTTACTGCAGCCAGGAGAAGCTGGAGTGAGATAATCAGCTAGGGTGCTTGGAGACATCCTGGGAAGAGGACTGGGGATATGGGGGTGAGAGGGAGGGAGGAAGCAAAAGGGAAAGTGAGCAGTCTGGTGTGGGGATAATGAGCATGTGTCTGGGAGGCTGCTGTTCCTAGGCTCTGATCTCAGCTCTGCCACTGACTTGTTCTGGGCCTCGGGCAGATCACTTCCTCTCACTGTGCCTCGGGTCTCCTCATCAAACTGGGTGTTTCTCAGGCATCTGGAGCACAGAGAGCCAGGGCAAAAGATTGTGGAGTAAAGGCTTGCGGGGAGGTAGGGGCTCTGATGCAGCCATCACTCAGCATTGCCACCTCTTGGAACACTGGGCCCCATTGTGCTGTTTTTCTTTCTCCCTCTGCCCCCCGCCCCCCTGCAGTCATCAAGAAATTTGATTACGTCTTTGCAGAGAATGGCACTGTGCAGTACAAGAATGGGCAGCTGGTCTCCAAGCAGGTGGGTCTTGGCCTCTCGATCTGCCTCTTCTCAAAGCCACTGGTTTGCTCTTTCCTTGTCCCTTCCAAGTTCCCTCCCCATCCGAACCCTTCCTCTGCTTTGTCTCCCCCAGTTCTGTCAGCCCCAGATGGAGCAGCTGTCTGACATCCTCCCAACATCTGACCACTCTGTGCACTCCCAATCATAATCAGACCTGTCTGACTTCCCTTGTCCCATTGTCCCCATCCTGGATGGATATTGTAGAACAGCCCATTCTGGGAAAGTGGTGTCCTCCAGCCCCTGTAGGGCTATCTGGTAGTAGCTTTGGCTTCACATTCCATCTAGGCTCTTCCTGATTTCCCCCCCTCCTTTCCCCACAGGCTATCCAGGACCACCTGGGGGAGGAGCTGCTGCAGGAACTAATCAACTTCTGTCTCAATTACATGGCACTTCTAAAGCTGCCTAAGAAACGGTAATGATCCCACTCAGCCCCATAGCTGCCTCTTTGCAGTTCAGATGCAATCTTTTACAGAAGGCTCCAGGCCCTGTGACTCTGGTTAGAATCTCAGTCCCCTGGGTTTGCTCTTGTATTAGCTTTGTATAGTGCCAGCACATCAGATATGTCCACAGGGCACAATGCAGAGCTCTGCAGAAATCTGTGAGCTAGCTCAGGTACGGGCTGTGATAGAGCTATGTTAGGGCAACTTTTTGCGTGAGCTGATCTACGCTGCTTTTCAGAGAAGCTCGTTATCCAGAGCATTGTGCTAACCTGGCTGGTCTGTTCCTGGTGGCTGAGCTGGCCCCATGAGATTAAGTGGGTGTCTCTGCTACAGCATTGCACCTTGCACTGTGCCAGCTGATACACCCTAGCCAAGATCAGAATCCCATTGTGCTGCCTGAGAAACAATCCAGAGGGGAAGTGCAAGGCTTGTCATCCCCTTTTTGCACATAGGAAATGGGTACAGAGATTAAGCCCAGATTTTTAATGGTGTTTTGGTGCTCAGCTGCCAACTGAGCCTAGATACCTGTGAAGACTTGGGCCCAAATTACTTACCCACAGTGTCTGGCAAAGCTAAGAGAAGAACCAGATCTCTTGCATCCCCCTCCAGTGTCTTAACTACAAAACTGGGCTTCCTTCCTGGAGCTGCCCCAGTGTAGTCCTTTGCTGTGCTGTGTTACCAAGTGTAGAGAGCTGGTTCCTCTTGGGTTCAGCATGATAAACACTTTCTACCCAAAATAGGGTGTAGCTGTCATTCTACCAGGCTCCCTGCAGGCACACTCCTGATGTAGCACCATTAACAGCTGCTCCCATGTGAATGCTGGATTTGCTGTCCTCCAACCCCCTGAGGTCCCTTCCAACCCTAATTTTCTATGATTCTGTGATTATGAAATGTGTTAAACCTGCCTCCTCCCACCTTAGAGGGACCTTCATTGAGTTCCGCAATGGGATGCTGAACATCTCACCCATTGGCCGGAGTTGCACCCCAGAGGAGCGAATTGAATTCTCTGAGCTAGACAAGGTAAATTGCCAGGCCTTGCTGTCCCCTCCTCTACTCTCACAGGGGACACGCGAGGTATTTTGGTCATGTCATGGTGTTTGCTTATCTTCTTCATCCCAACCTACGTTAGAGTCCCAAGCCTTGCACTCAGGTAGCCGGGCCAGCAACAGCCTTGAAGGCCTTGGGCTTGCCTATCTTGACTGTGAAAGTGAAGGCAGCAGTGTGGATGGGAACTCCCAAAGGAGTTCTTTTGGGGTGACACTGAAGAAGTGACCTGATCCACTGCCACTGATGAAAGTGGGCTGCTCACTGCTTACATGCAATCACACCTGGTACTGGAAAACCTTCCTCAGGAACTCTTTCCATTTTCTATGGCATTTCTTCAGCATAGTGGCTGGAGATGACTCCGACCAAAATGCTTGGACTTCTTAGCTCAAGCCCCATCCAGCCAACACCCTCTTCCATTTCCCCAGGCCAAACACAGCAGGAATCCATGGTTTTCCAGACCAAGAGGGGCCAGGATATGTGTCACTAAGGTGTGTGGAGAACACTGTGATTCTGGCAAGTGCCAGCTGTACCGGGCTATCCTTGAAGACTTCCTTTTCCCCAGGCCAAAGCCTGACGGGATTGGTCCAACAGGTGCAAGACATAGAGGCAGAGCTGGCGATATCAGTTCCTGGACTGGGCCCCCAAAGATGAGCAGCATTGCAATGAAAGGCATTGGCTCCCAGGCAGCTGTGCAGAAAGGGGCTCCAATCCAGTGTGACCAACAACTGACCCATGCTGCTCTGATCTAACATCCATTAGGCTGACTCTGAGGTGGGGTCACAGCAGCAGCATGGCACTGTTCCCAAGGGAAGGGAACTGTGTGAAGGGAAAAGTGAAGGCAGCATAACTGTGAGATCATCTAAGATCCTGCATAGCTCACACCGAATCCTGGGCCCCAGGTGCTCAGTGCAAGACACAAAGGAAAGCAGTTGTGCCATGCTGGTTGTTGGGACCTGAGAAGAACAGAGAAGCCTAGGGCTAGAGCTAGAGAGGCAGTGGCACAAGAGCCCCATTGAGGGCTAGTCATTCATAGCTTCCCCCTCCATTCCTCTGCAGAAAGAGCGGATCCGAGAGAAGTTTGTGGCAGCCTTGAAGACAGAGTTTGCGGGCAAAGGCCTGCGGTTCTCTCGAGGTAAGCAGAGGGCCCTGTGATTGCTGTGGCTGCCCATGCAGTGTGTGTTGTGTGAGAATCTCAGGTGGGCAGAAGCCCTGGCCATTTCTTACCTAGAGGTGACTGAGTGAATGTCAGGGGTGGGAGCCCAACCAAAACCCCTTGGAAGAGGACATGGGGTGGATTCCCCATGTGGATCCTTGGGTGGGGAGATCTTAAGCCTTGGGCTCCTATGTAACATGTAGAGAGAAACAGAAAATAGAGATGTGTAAGCAGTACCTATGAGTGGTGGATCTTTTTCTTGGGAGATCAGTCAGATGCACTGGCTTTTGTGCCACTGAATTTCAGTAGGTTTTCACTTAGCTCTGCTGTACCAATAGAAGTGCAGGAGAGGGAACAGAGATTGCTCTTGCTTCTGACACTAGCAGTTGGATTGTTCCAGCTGCAGAGCCAAATCCTTCCCTCTGGTTCACCTGTGCAGCCCCAGTGATGCCAGGGGCACAGGAGAGGGAAGGCCCCCAACTTGTTTCTTGGCTCCCCTGTTGCATTTGCAGGGTCGACTGTTAAGGAAACAGTCTCTTCTTCTCTGGTAAACCTGATCTGGAATCATTGCGTTGCTGTTTGTGTGCAGTGGTGCCTCCAAGTAGGACTGCATTCTCATGGCCAGACTCACAAGAGTGAAAGAGGCAGCAAGTGTCCTGGGGGGGAATTTGGCCAGGATGGAGGTGGAGGTGAATGTCGGGGAGGGTGAGGGATGGGGCTGCATTCTTTAAAATTACTCAGAGGTGAAGGTAGAAAGAATCAAAACATAAGGTGCCCATTAAAGAGCGCCTTTTAATGAAGAGCATAGCAGGTATGGGGGGTAGGACACTGTAGGGCAATGGGACACTTCCCTATTTAGCCACATAGTAATTCAGAATCCCAGTCCTTAGCCTGCCAGGAGCTTGTATCTCCTGGCAGCCTCTCCCAGCTGTGCCATCTTGGCATTGACACAGGCTGTTTGTCATAGCAAAGACAGACAAAGGCATCGCAGTCCTGTTCTCCACCCCAGCTGCACACTAGGCAAGCGCAGAACAATGGTTCTTTCTCCCAATGCTTTGGTGAGCTGCTTTCACAAGGCCACTCTTGTGACCCAGTGCACAAAGATGACAGGAGCTGTGAGCCCTCTGGTCCTCTGAAAAGAAAGCACAAGATGTTTCAAGCTGGGCACCTGAAAGCAGAGGTGCATAAAAACAGGGATTCCCCCACCTCCCCTTAAAGCAGAGCTGGAATTGATTTGTCTGAGGCTCTGAAGTGGTAGAACCCAGGAGCTTGGGTACCCAGTGCCGCTGGTCAGTGCTGAGACAGCACTCACTGTCCATGAGTAGAGCGCACCCTTCTCCCTTCATGGGACTTTTCTAGCCATATCTGTTGGTGTTGGGAGCTCCTGTTGCTGCCCAGCTCAGCCTGAAAGGGACAAAAGACCTTGGAATATGCTATCTTCCTTGCTCAGTGGTGGATCAGATTTACACATTCTCCTGGCACTGGGGTGGCCAGTTGGATTCCTGCACTGCTACAGGCATGGGTGACCTTGGCATTGGTCAAGTTGCTTCACCCTTCATCCATGTCCTCCATGGGTGCTTAGCTGTTGCCCTACTCAGCACAGTAGCACCTCACCCCAGGTGTCCTGTCACAGAGCCAAATCGTCAGCCCTAGGTTCTGTTTTCAGGCTTCCCCATGCATCGTACTGGCAGAACTCAGCACCCACAGGTGGGATCCGCTGGAACCAGCTGACTGGGGAGTCACCAAAACTAGCCACAAATGAAAGGAGAGGAGAAGGGCAGGGCCCAGCTGCTCAAGCAGCTGACTGGCCAGAGATCGGTGCCGTGCTTCTGGCCAGGCAGACCCCGCTCTCTACTAGGGATTATCAACCAGGAACTTTTCCCTGGAGCTAAGCAGCTCGTAGGTCATCTATGCCTGGTTTTCTCATCCGTGAAAAGCTGGAGAGTACATGGACCCCAGACTAGTCAATAGCCTAGTGGCTGGAGCACCCACAGGTGGTGTGGTTCTGAGTCCTTCAAATCACATAGAGTGGGGATTTGCACCTGAGATTCTGGTCCAAGCCCCTGTGGGCCTGTCTCAGAGCAGGGACTTGAACCCATGCTTCTCCTATTTTAGGTGAGCCCTTAATCTTAGCTGTTTAAATAGGATATTAATTGGACCACAGAGACAAACAGTGTCTGTAGCCTCCTGGTTAGGGCATTCCTCTGGGATATGGCAAATTGAAGTTCATGCCCATGCTTCAGGAGCTATTTATTTATTTATTTATTTGTACAAGGTGGGGCAGCTCCAACAGAAGAGATTAGGTATGCCCCACTCCAGCCTGCTCAAGAGCCTTGTGGCGGTGTCCTGAGAGTTGGGACACTTGGACTTAAATTCTACCCAGTCTGGAACAGGAAATCTGCATCTCCGACATCCCAGGGTCAGCGGCGTGCATACATACGTGTACACAGTTGTTCGTGCCTTTGTCCTGAGCAATTCTTAACCTGCTTACACTCAGCCCCTGGCACTTTTGTGCCTCTCTACCTATCCATAGTCTGCCTCAGCTCTCCCCCACCCTCCAGGCAGGATGTGTCAAGTAACAGGTGTTTGGCCTACTCTCAGGACTAGCCCCTGCTGATGAAGTACACCTTCCCCTGTCTAATTTGATAACCCCATGCTGAGGCCTCAGAGCAGTTTGCTTGCTGCAGGGCAGTGTCGGCATGTGGGGGCTCTGCACATGCCAACCAGCAGAAGCTCAGGAGTGGCTGAGCAGTGGTTTTAAGAGTCAGTGATGCCTAAAGACCGTGGGCTTAGGCAGCCAGAAAGTGCCTTTGAGGCTCAAGGCCTCAGCTCACCATCATAAGGTGGGAGTGCCAGTGCTACCCTTCCTCATGGGTATTAGGAGGATGTGTATATTGCAGACTGTGAGGCCCTCGGACACTGCAGGGATGGCGGGGATTGTTAAAAGCCTGCTAGAGCTTCTCATAGGTTCCCTGGTGACAAAGCTGACCTCACCACTCCTACACCCTGGGCTCCTGTGTTTTTGCTCATGTCCTTGGCTGAGATCAAGGGCGCCTTGCTGACGCCCTCACAGCCCATTGTCATGGAAACGGTAGCTGCCTGCCTTCATCCTAGCAGTGCATTAGAGCAGCGGTTGCCATGGCAGGGTAATGTCTTGCTGCCCTTCTGGGAAAGACTGGGTTCACGCAGCCAGGCCCTCTATGCTGCCCCAGCCTAGTGCCCAGCACCCTTCCCACCTACCTAACGATCTCTCTCCTGCTGGCAGGTGGCATGATCAGCTTTGATGTCTTCCCAGAGGGCTGGGACAAGCGCTACTGCCTTGACATCCTCGATGATGAGAGTTTTGACACCATCCACTTCTTTGGGAATGAGACAACCCCTGTGAGTACACCCTTCACACTGGCACCTGGAGTGGAGAGAGGGGAAGGGGCATTCAACTGTTCTCTGAAGGGAGGGACCTGTTCCCCTCATTCCCCAGCTCAGTGGTTCTCAACCTCATTAGAGTTAAAGTGCCCCTTGGAAAATGCCAGCTCTTCGTTTTCACTCTTTTTTTGACAGCAGAAAAATAGCACAGCAATGCTTCTGGTGCAGAGAACTCAGAAAGGCCACAACAGGTCAGAACGTCTTTTTCCCTATGGATTCCTATTTGAAATCTCTGGGTTTATTGTGGGACTCGCATGTAGGTGTTTGCTCACCTGTCAGTATTCGTATTGTACAACACATTTAAAAGGCTGTCGTGGCAGCCCAGGGTGCTGGGAAGCCCTGGCTGAGAATCACTGACCAGTTCCTATGGACCATTTCTCTGGTCTCTCTTGGTTTTGTTAGGCAATGCTGTCCTCTAGTGGTGAGAGAAGGGAGAGCTCTTGTGTACCAGAACATGCTGCTGCACCATGCCAGACTGCTATCCAGCCTACTTTACATGCTAAGCCTACAACCAAGGGACCAGTAGTGCTTGGGATTAGCAAGTGGTGTTCTTCCCACCAAGCCAGAGCTGTCTTCCTGCCACATCACAGTCCTCGAAGTTATTCTGAAGCTGAAGAGGCCACAGAACTAGGGAGATACAAACCTGAAACTCTGACCACATCAGCAGAGGCAGGAACATCTTCGCTGCCTCTGCAGGTGGTGCAAGGTGGTCCTTACCTGCTGCTGATGCGGCATTCATTGGTTTTGCTTGTCTTCTTTCATATATCAGCAGTCTCTTGTGCTCAGTTCAGGTTCCAAAAGACTCTTCACAAATGTAGGGGCAAGGTGTTAGTACTGGGGTCCTAGCCAAGCCCCAACTCAAGTTGCCACACTGAGCTGGCCTAGGTCTCTCTCCATCACTTCACTTCAAATTGGTTACAGTGCCCTTCTCCATCCCTTAATGTGAGCTGCAAAATCATGTGGTAGGTGCAGGATGCCAGGGACTGCAGGCACACTTCCAGCCTGATCCACAAGCAAAGTCAGTGCAGTAGGGATGTGGGTAGATGTTCACTTGCCCTAGTGTAACTTATATGAGCTTTGTATGCTAATGTAAGTACACTAGGATCAGGGTCTGATATGCAGCTGTTCCCAGGGTAGTAATAGGTGCTATTATAAACCTTTGCCACTCAGTGGCAGAGGAGTAAATAATAGCTTGTTTACATTTAGCAGACACTACTACCCCAGGATGGAAGCAGACAGATGATGCGTAAACAGAAGTGACTTATACCATTATAGTTTTACCTTGACTATTTCAGAGGAAATTCTGCACAGGATTGGGTGAAGTTACCCCAGCATAGGAGTTTGTGTCATCTGTACAATTTACAGAATTGTAATGCTTATTAGACGACTGGAAATATTTAATAAGTCCACACTTTTTGACACGTCAGGCTTACTCCCTACATGGGGTTTGGATTTGGTGTTCTTAACAACAACACTGGGACAAAGACTAGTTCAAATCACTTTCTTCCCATAGGGATTACTCAGACCACAATTTAAATTCCCTCTCTCATTGAGCCTGTCCACTGAGCTAGTAAAACCCTTGTAACCCATCCCCAGCAGGATCACAATCTGTGAACAGTGCGGTGTGTCTCAGGTGAGCACTGTTTGCCTATCACTGACTGTTTCAGTGACAGGTGGGTGACCCTTACAGAGTCTGAAGTTGTGTTGGGGTTGTACAGGACAAGGGAAGCTATATGCAGAGTGATGGCTACAACTCTTTCTTTTCTTTCCCCCTTCAGGGAGGGAATGATTATGAAATATATGATGACCCACGGACAGTGGGGCATAGCGTCCGGTCTCCCCAGGACACAGTCCAGAGATGCCGTGAGATCTTCTTTCCAGAAAGAGCCAATGAATGTTGACTCCTGTACCCCTTTGGATCTTCCCCAGTACCTGTCACCAACCTCCGAGATCCCACATTGTGAAAAGCACCTTCATTTGAGGACTCTGCTTGGGGTCCACTGAAAACTGCTTTCCAGAGCTGGTCATGAGGGAAGGTTTTAAAGTGTTGGGTGCAAGTGGGTGTGTGCAGGGGAAGGGGGAGGTATGTTAATCCTTCGCTACCTCCAATGATGGCTGGGGACTTGTGGGACCAGTTCTGCTTCCACCATCAAAAAGACTCTTCCAGGTAAGCACTCCATTCTTGGTGGGTGATGGTTTCCTGCCTTGTTGGTCTGTAGCCTGATGGGGACCAATCACTACAGGCACTCTTTTTTTTCTCTCTCTCTCAACATAGCTGCACATGGGAATACACTTCATAGGTTCATCCATAGACACTGAGTATGTGGGGTAGGGTGACCACGTGGCCATAGTTGGGCAGGACAGTTCTGAAATGGAAACATCAAGTCCTGGTCCTGGGCTACATGACTACAGGACAGCATTTGTCCTGGATTCCCAATATCGTGCAGGGATCCAAGTTTTCCGTTCACCATGGAAAAATGCAGGAAATGGCAGGTTTTCCCTTGCAGGCTGGCAGAGTTCCAGCCTGGAAGAGAATGCAGGAAGTGAGATGCAAGGGGCATCATGTGCATGTATGTGTGCACACACATGCACGTGGCCAGGAATACAGCCCCAGGCAGTGGTGGAGAGCAGCTCCCCCAAATGCTTGCAGGGAAGTCTCCAGGAGCCCTGCATTGGCCGCATCACCATGGCATGGTGCTTCCTACCCACCTGGCAGCAGCATGGGTGGTGGTGTGCAGTTTTGCCCCCAGGCAGGCAGGGGGGCATCATCATGGCAGCACAGCTGGCGCAGGACTCCTGAGGGGAGAGCACCAGGGCAGGGAACCCTGAGCCACAGCAGATAGCCTGCATCCTCCTCTGCCCACCCACAGGCTCCACAAAACTCTGCTCTGGCTGTGCTGCTGGGAGGGAGAATCATCTTAAGCACCCCAGGGCTGCCAGGAAAAATAAAAGTCAGTGCCTATGGGTTCATCCCATTAATCCCTGTTGCACCTCTAGCCTTGGGAAAAGGCCTGGGACCTGCCGAGATCAGGGGTTCTCAAACTGTTTCATTCTGTGGACCAATCCTTAAAAGTGACCTGGAAAGGATATTTTAAAATGAGTGTGCGCCCTTTTATCACATGCATTCTAAAGGCCAAGAATTGCTTCCTTTTTGTGTGGAAAGGATGTCCTGAGTTTTCACTTGGGTTTTTGTATGTGAGTGAAATGAGGAATGTGCAGTCTGGTCTTTTCTGGTTTTGCTGGAGAACTTCAGGTCTGCTTTTATTGGACTCTGAGCAACAGTAATAGACTGGGAAGCAGAAGTTTTAGCAGAGCCATGCTTCATCCAAATGGTAATTAGGCATTGGAGTGAAGTAGGGGTTAAAAACAAAAAAATGTTTTTAGCAGTCTGTGGCCTGCAGTGCTCTGCCAGCAGAACAGAGAGCTCCCATACCCAGAGCTTCTCTGCCAGCAGAGTTATTCCACCCCTGCTGAAGAAAGTAGGGCTATTACTGCCCCTGGTAGCTGGCAGAAGGTGTGTGCAGACAATCCCATGCCTTCTGCCAGCTGCTATTGTCCTACGAGTAACTGGTACCTTCCCAGGCTGCACTCTGCGCTCTGGCTGAGTATAGACCTGGCCTGACTGCTCCCTTCTTTCCCAGTTGCTCAATGGATTTCTCTTAGGTTTTCATCCTTTCACTTTCTCCACCCCTTTGGCACCTGCCAGTGCAGACAAGAGCTGGATTTCTATTGGAATATTAAAAAAACCTTTCCAACTTTCTTTATCCACCTTAACAGGGGTGAGACAAGTATCCTCCCTCTTTTCCTGGTCACTTCTAAAGAGGCAGATGCAGTTGCACAAATGCAGCTGTCTCCTGGTTTTTGCCCTCCAAGAGACCAGGACTTCACTTCCAGCAGGACCAAATCCCCCAGCGTCTCCTGGCCCTACATCATCTCTGATTTTTGTCCTTTTGTTTCTTATCCTTTATCTTGGGTAACTTTTTGTGCATCAGGAAGCCTGACCCCTGTTATATGTGTATTGAGGTACAGTGGCTGAAGAAAGTCAGGGATTCATTTGGAGGAAGGTTCTCTGTTATATCCTTCCTACTGATGTAGTGTTTGAAGCTCTGTGGTAAACAGAGAGCTAGGAGCTTTGAGTTCAAGACACCCAAAAAAACCCTATGGGTTTTGAGCATCTCCAGCTTTGGATGCGGTAGACAGATGCTCCTCCGTCCATGTCTTTCATGCCATTGCCCTCCAGAACTGCTGCTGCGTCCTTCACCAGCCCCCTTTATTTTTCCCAGTCCATTTTCTGTCTTGTCTTTCTTCTGGGTTCTTGCTTTCCTTCATTGTCTGTGTTTTTTGCTTTCTCACTGTGGGTCTCCTTGTCCGGTGTAACAGATGGCTCTTTGCCTCCTGCTAGTGGCTGGACCACTTACAGAGGTTCCGGAGCGTGCTTCTGGCAGACACTAGAGACTCATGCTTTTAGGTTCAGGGGTTCATTTCCTCCTTGGAAATGAGGACCAACCCCACCTTGGAGTTCACTTGCTTTGTGGCTCCCTCCCAACTCCATTTCACTCCACAGCAGGCTGTGGGAACCCGGAGTCGTGCTGAGTGTCCACGACTCATTTTGAAGTCAGTGATCTGTATGTGCTCTGTGTGTGTGTTTTGAGGGCTGTGGGAGCAGGCCTCTGTCTGGTCCACAGAGGAGAGGAGTCCATGACCGCTCTACGGGGCTGGTGGTGCACCTCCAGACAGCAAAGTAGTCATTATGGCTCTGGTTTTAAATCAGTCTTCACTTGGATCGTGCAAGCTCCCTTCAAGCCATCAGCCCAGATGCCAGAGCTGGGAAGACCCCACTAGCAGCTTCCTCAACAGCAAAGTTCAAGCTTGTTTCTCAGGGTTCAACCCTTCTTTCCTCCCAAAACACTGCCTGCCTGGGCAGGGGTACGGCATGGTTCTTAGAGGGGGATTGGCTTATACTGACTGGCTTGATCTGTACCAATGTCAAAAGCTGCCTCTGATTTTTGGGTATGCAACCTGAGACCCAAGAACATCAGAAAGGTCATACGAGATCAGAGCAAAAGCCCTCCTAGGCCTCGGTCCTGTTTCCAACAGTGACACATAATGGGCACTTTAAAGGAAGCACCCCCAACCTCCGAGTCCTGACACTATGCCTTGCTGAAGCCTTTACTGCCCTCTTTGCACACAGCTAGTAATGCCACCCTCCTCCCCCATTGTGACGCTCCCTCCCACCTGATAGTGTCACCCCTGTAATGTCACTGCACTACGGGAGCAGGAGCAGCCATTGGTGAGGAGAGCATATTGTGTGCTGAGACATGTGGGCCTGTGGGAACAGTTGTGGAGACGATTGCCACAAGGTGTCTTTGTTTTCACCTGGTCTTAAGGCTGCACCTGAAACTGCTGTATGGTCTCACTGTGACAGAAGAGGTGCTGAGGCCTGTGCAAACTGAGCCTTCTCCCTCCGCCCCTGCCACCTTGCAACTGGAAAATGTGAAATGGGGAATGTGCCACCTCTGTTACGCCACCAACTAGTTGCAGCCATCTGCCCCACCCCACCTGGAGACAAGAGGCTTCTCCCTGCACTGCCTGGAGCTGGCCTCAGGTCTGATTGAGCATGAGCACTTGTGGGGTTTATCACTGTATGACCGTGTGTGTATGTAAAAGTGAAAGGACATGTGTCATTGACTGTGTAGCCTGTGGCTCTGTCTGTTGCTGTGTGAAAGAAAAGAAGTTCCCCTGTGACTGATGCTAGCTGTTAAATAAAGCAATTTTATTTTAAAATGCTATTAAAGGTATGGAATGAAGTCATGGAGGGCAGTGTGCTGTGTATCTCTGGATTCGAATACTTACTGAGCCATACAGGGAAGGAGTGGGAAGACACCGCTCCCATTGCATATGTGCTGCTGGAAAGATGTGACAGATCAGAGAATAGCTGTGCAAAGCCTGGGTGATTTCTCAGCTGGGGAGTCTGCCCATTTAGAGATGGGCAGCAGTGGAGGGAGTGGGAGGCCCTGGATGGCCTGTTCTATGTGGCTGATTGGAGCCTAGGTGCCCCCTCATCTGCTGGATGGCTGAGAGGTACACAGAGCATGTGATAAGTATGCAGTCAGCCCTCTGCTCAGGCACCCCTGTCCTTCCATCCCTGCAGCAGCCTGTGGTGGAGGACTGAGATCTTCAGGCTTCAGGTAAGGCTTATCCGAGTAGAACCAGAGCCTGCTCCTGAGTGGCATGTCCTAATGGGAGCTGGGAAGGGCATGAGGAGAATTCAGCATCTCTCCAGCACTAGAGGGAAGCAGTTTGGTGCAGCATTTTCCTTTGAGATGGCTACAAGAGCAACAGACATAATGGGGCTCTGGCTATTACGGTCCTTTTTACCAAAACAAAAGCTGCTTCACAGGCTATGAATTGGCTGCTGCTCAGCAGAGCTCAATTGCCTGCAGACCAGATCATGGCTGTACTACTTCTGGTGTAGAAGCTGCATGGGGTGTCTCAGCACTGCGCTGCCTTGTGTTGCACAGGCCTGCCCATAGATATTATGGGAAGTCTCACAGCACTGCTAGGAAGTGAGCTAGGACTGTTCTTCTCTGCTAGTAGAAACAACTGCTAAAGGTGATCACGCTGCAAGAAATCCTTGCAGCAAGTTGTCTTTATCACCTTGCAGCACATAAGGCCCTGGAGCTCTTGCTGATATTCCTATAGGTGCTTTCTAAGCCTGTTCCAAAAAATCATAGGACAGTACTGCCCATCCATACCCTGGGATATTGCTCTACACTCCCCAGCAGAAGCAATGGATTGCAGTCTTTGGGGCAGAGACTTACCTTTCCTTCTGTGTTCATACAGCATCTCCTACAAAAGGGTTCTGGTTCATGACTAGGATTCCTGGACAGTAGTAGAGCAGTGAATGCAAGGAAGCTGTCATACTACCCTTCTGGACACTCGCTTCTTATGGTGCAGAAGACTATGCAAAGGCTCAAGGCAATACAAAGTAAGCTCCTCATAGTCTGAGGTTTATGGCTCAATCCTCTATTTGCTCTTTAGGTCTTGTAAGTAAAGGACTGTCCTGCTGGATGTAGCTAGTGTCTGGAAACACCAAGCCTGCCTCCCCAGAAAAGATCACCCCCACCATCACTACCTCTGTCCAGGAACTCTTTCTTCCTGAAGGATTGTGGGAGCTGTCCTGCACTTGTCTTGTCAAAATCACGCCCAGCAGAGGGGCATGACAAAAAGCAGCAGGAGGAAAAAAAAAAACAGCTGTGTAGGACTCATGGGAAAGTCACTTTTAATGGTTTATTGCCAGTGTTACAAAGGTTTGACACAAGGTCAGACAGGCAGGAACCACACCAGAGGTTTCAAAACACAAACACTTCTAGTTTTTAGGTTATTTCCAAAAGAATCAGAAAGTCTGTCTTGGCCATGCTGACTGCACGTTCCAGGGAGACACCTGGGAGGGGCAGCTGCCTCTGACCTGTGGGTGCTGTGCTCTGCAGGCAGTGGCTAGAGTGCAGATGTGCACCCACTGACATTCACTCTGTGCACAAAACAGCCATGAGGAGTCCCAGGGGCTAGTCCAGAACTCAGGACAGGCCCCATAGACTGTAAGGAGGAAGGAGTAACTCCTTGTGGACCCTGATGTGTTTGTCTTCAGGGTTTTAGGGCATGTGATGGCATGGATGAGCTGGTTAAAATATCCCTTCCTCTTTCAGCCATTCTTGCCCTCTATGACATTTCTCTCACGTGCATGTGCATGCCTACACACACTCACAGTGTATAAGAGCAATCCCACATCCTCTCCAGAGGCTGTCATTCCCTTAAATTAATCCTTCAGACAGGACAAATCCCACTCACAGCAAAGCCAGTAGGAGTTCTCCCACTGACTTCAGTGGCAAAGCCACATCTTACTAACAGCCTCCAGCCTTGGAACAGCATGGCTTCAGGAGTAGAACAGCAAGGTTGTGGCTCCCTGGAAACTCACAGGGCTCCTCATGTTGCTCACTGGGGTGTAGCTGGCAGAACAGCACATGGTAGAGCCTGAACCCACTCACAAAAGGCAAGGTGCTGGCACACCAAGCTTGCTGGGCCTATGTCCCCAGGAGGGCTCTCCATCCTGCATTTATCTGAGCCAGTCTCCAGGGTATCTAGGCACTAAATAGGCATCCTTACAGCTTCCAGGTAGTCTTGACAGGATAGCATAGCCCCCCCATCACCACCAGTTCATGGCTGAGCCCATGTTCCAGTGGTAACAAGAGAGGCCAGAGGGGAAAACACTGCCCTATTTTTTAAAAATCAGACACACCACAGTTTTCTGCCCCTCCCTTTTCACAGGCCCAGGCCAAGCCCATGCTCTCACCGTCAGTCTAGAGTGCACAGCCCCTCGGCCCCCAAAGAGAGGGCAGCATGCCACTCAGCAAACTCGACCTAGCTCCCAACACCCATGAGTGTTGCTTTGTGTGAACAGCTTCCACACAGTGCCAGCTGCCTAACCTTTAGGACACCATCAGGGGGCTTAGGAGATGAAACCACAGTTTTGCAATCTTCAAAGGCTTCTTTCATGCAGTCAGTGTCAACACAGAGCTGCAGATCCTGGCTAGACCCCTGGCAGCCTAGAATGTGCCCACCAATGCCATGAAAAATCATGCCAGCCATACTCTGCATAGAACCACTCCCTGCCCTTTGCAAGTTGCTTTGGGAGTCCACTGGGTCAAGACATTTTAGAGAAGACCAAAAATAAAGTTTGTGCTTTAAAAGTGACCCTGTCTACACCGAGGGGATAGGGAGGTGCCTGCATAGACCCACACAACATAGCTGGAGGAAGCAGTGAATAAGGAGGCACAGCTAAGCAATTAAACTCTTACCATGAATTGCATGGCCAGCTACACTACTACCCTAGACTACATACTGCTGCCTACACCCCCCTCCATCTCCCTCACTCCCCACCCCACAGCAAGCTACATAGACACATACAAAAGGGGATCCTCAAGGGAATCTGGGCTGACAGAGGGGAAGGGGGAGGAAGCCGTTGCCCAAAATTCAGGCCAGCTCTGTCTCAGAAAAAGTGCTCGCCACATCTAGTAGCACAGCAGAAGTGCAGTGAGAGAGTCAGCCCCAGGTCTCTGGCCACGCAGCAACACAGGGCACTAGTTGCTAGTCAATCCTGTGCTTGGCAAAGAAGGATTGTGCAGCAGATGGGAAGGAATGGAGGAAACAAGGCCTCGCAGGTCATGCTCCATTGCAGAGTCCATGGTGCTGCTATGTGGGTGTTGGCAATTCCTTTGTCAACCATACAGCCCAGCCCAGCCCAGGACTAGCACAGGCCTCCCCACCCTGTGACAAGAGCGTGACCTGTGCATGCAGCACATCATGCTACCATAGCAACTACAGCAATTAGGTCATGGAAATCCATGAGGTCAGAGGGATGGAGAGCAAGTTGCCACAACAACTAGACACTCAGACAGGAGTGAACCAGGGGGGCAGGGGGGGGGGGGTGGAAGGGGGGGCAGGGGGCCTAGAAGGACCCATTTGGGGCCGGAGGGAACTAA